CCATACAAATGCCCCGGCGGGCGCCATAGCGCCCGCGGGCGCCGCGTTGGGGACCACTGGTCTAGAAAATCCTTTTGTAAGGAATAATATGGATATAAGCCATGGATATACAGAGCACTTTATTTTACAGTTAAATAAAAATAACTTAAATATGTTCCATGTTAATTTCTGTAGCATCTGTAAGGTTTTTACACTGAATGTAAAAGTTAACAGGACAATTGTGTCATCCACATAAAGAATTACTGTCCTGTTATCTGTTTACTGAGACCTATGGTTGATCATTGATGTTTACTCAGATGCATCTTTCATCATAGCTGGGTGACAGCAAATCTTCATGTGACTTCAATTATTGGGCACCAAATACTGGAAATAAACACATACTCCATTAGAACTCTTATTTGCCAAGCCTGGAGAATCTGTTTTTAGTTCATTTTCACTTGTATACACAAAGTACTAAATGGGGCTCTTGAAACCTCTTCGAAATTACCTATTTCTGCTTGAGAAAGTACACTCTTCTGTAGTGTATAACACACTATTCTGTTTACCAGGTCCCATGTGATGGCTACAGTGACATTGAGATCCTTGGGTGCCCAAGTCATTTTTTTGAGGACGAGCTGGTGACTATCCTTAACATGGAAGGAAGGTGAGAGAAAATCAAAGGAGTTGGAAATGGAAGTGTAAGAGATTACTTTCATGTTTGCTTTAGTGAAGGGGAAATCCTACATTGCTCAGTGCACTCCAGTCAAATTAAGTCTGATTTCATCCTCCCTTGTTTTAAAATTTGCTATATATTTGAGAGTGTGTCTGTAAGTCTGTTAGTTCAAGAACTCATCCTAAATGGTAAGCACTAGGATGACCAAATTTGGTAAACAGCTTCCTCTGATCATAGCTTAAAACAAGGCCAAGGGTTGGTTGTTTCTGATATAATACAAAGGGAGGAGTCTGCTGGCAGGCACAGTTAATAATGCAGAATGACCATAGGTGATGGGCACACTGGTAAGAGAGTGGCTGGCTAGGGACGAGACGCTGGATGTTGCCAGTCACCATATAAAGGTAAGGTTCCCAGGCTGGTGAGCAACCACTAGGCAGCATGGCCACTTTTGTACAGATCAGCCCTGGGAATCTGGCACCTGAACAGCACAGCCCTCAGTGCCCTGGTCAGCCTTGGGGATCGACCAGCCTCCTACACCCACCAGCCCCCTGTGCCTCCCTTGCCCTGAGCTCTTCCTCACCCCCAAACCTGACTCCTGCATGCCTCCACTCTCCCCATCTGAGCTCCTTAATGACCTGAGTAATGCCCAGTAAATGTGCAAGTAAACAGATAAATGTCACAGCTTTATAAAACTCAGTATTATGAAATTTATCTTGATATTCACCTTTCTTTCCCTTAGGTAGTAGCTGTCTCTTCATGTTAAACTTCAGAGAATACTTAATAGAAATCCAGAAGGAAAACAATGAGCATGACTTTTGGCACAGTGTGCTCATAGTCCTTTTGGTTGCTTTTTTGGTATTTGGTAGGGAAATGCAGTTTAACTTTTTTTTGTCCTGAAATCAGTTTGTTTGAGCCACTACAAAAGGCACTACTTGGTTACATTGCATAAATGCAACCCTGTTATATTAATAATTTAAAATAAAGGTAGAAACAAATTTATACACCTCTAGTTCTTGCCTGTGTAAATATTATTGTTGCCATTGTTAGTCTCTGGAGCAATGAAGAGGTGAACATTATCATTTAAAAGAGGCTCCATTACAGTGCTGTCTGTCAGTGGCATACAAACAGTAGAATGGTGCTTCTGTTGTGATTGAAATGACAGTAGATTGCTCTCAGTGTGGCCTGGTAGCCTGTTGTCTTGATTAAAGGGACTGTTTGAAAAAACATAAACTAGAATGAAACTATTCATTTAATTGTCTGCTCACATTTATTTTGTAACTTCTGTGTTGAAATTGTGGCTTTCATTTCATATTTGACAACTGGTTAAATACAATTTGAGCCTTTGCACTTGCCAAATGCATTCCCATAAAGCAGCATTCATGCTAATTGCACCCTGATTGAGCCATAGTTCTTGCCATTCAATATCATTAGGCTAAATCATTTCCCTGGAAAATGTTCCATAAAGCGTCTGTCCCTGTGGAGTATCCTGATTAATTAGTGGAGGATAAAGTATTATGAGATTTGATTCTTTCAGTTGGCATGGATGGAGAGCAGTTGCTTGGTCTATTGTTGTGAGGGAGGAGGATGAAGGGCAGGGGAAGGGAATTCTTTTCAAAGAAAATATTTCAAATCTGTTTCAGTGAAAACTCCACAACATGAAGAAAGAAAGCAAATTAAACAGTAACATTTATTTTCTGAGCAAATGCTGGAAACAGTACATCCCAGAGGACTCAACATATATAACCCATTGACTACTACATACAACTCCATATATGCTGAGGCACTCTGTAGAAAGACCTTAGAAAATTGAGAAATCACTTGTGTACTTTACATACTCCAGAAGACACCATCTCAAACAAGAAATCATATGTTTCCTCACGTTGGAATAAATATAAACTAGAAGGCCCAACCTATTGATCATACAGAAAATACAAACCAACTTTAAAAAAACCCCACACTTTGACAGATGTTTAACATAAAAACAAAAAATGGAACCAAATACCACAATTCCATAATGCACAAAACATTACCTCTGAGAGAAAACAAAGATACTATGACCAAGCCCTTGGACATTGAATGACAATACAACATCATCAATCTGTCAAGACTACTCCTAACTGGAACTGTAATATCTGTATTCTCCAAGAAACTGAACCTCTGCCTCAACACAGAACCTGATACAGTGCTAGCAGTTGGAGAACTAGAAGAATTCTTCTGCTGATTCCATGACAAAACTACCCATAACTACCACATCCCCACTGATGACCCATAAGAAAAAATCTGGTTGGATACATCCCAACTGATGAAACCACACAATGGATCATTACACCAGTTGCTTTAAGGAAAAACATGTGATTCTGAAATCCTCAGCAAACATGGTATCTACCATAATCTCTATCATTGATAGGATTGCTGTACAATCCCTGAAATCCCAGCCACCAGAGACTGATCAAACCCACAGAAAAAACTGATGTCATGATAGTCCTTAATTATGATGTGTATAATCAAAGAGGAAAATAGATAACTCTGATACCACCTAGTGTAAATAATTCAGAAATGACCCCACACCACTGTGTATGCAGGAGTTTAATAATAACATCGACTCTTCCCCAAATAACTCCCAAGAAAAACTTTTCAATCTTGTCCCACACAAACTCCTCTTTCTACTTGCTTCCCAGGGTACACAAACAAGGGAATCTCGGCAGTCCCCTTCTAAATAGCCATGATGCTTTTACTGAAGGATTATAAGGAATCATAGTAACTACCTCTGTGTACAGTTTTCTTCTCCAGAAATCCTGCAACATGAGACCACCACCCTGTGCACCAGAGATGTTATCTCCATATACCGGGATCTCAAACGCCTGTCCCACAGAGCTGGGGGGG